CTGGTGACCCTCCTTATTGGTAGGACTAGCTTAAGCTGCTTTCTTTAGGGGGGTATGTTAATCAAAGAGCCTGGGCTAGCAGCTCATTTCAATTGGTGATATTAAACCAAAGAGCAGAGCCAGAAAAAAGTAAGGAAAACACAGGAGGAGAGCCAGATGTAACAAAGTATGCAAGTAACTGCTTGGCGCTTCAAATAAGCAGGTCACATTTTCAGAGGCTGATTCCACCACTGTAATTAGAGAAGCACATGGGTGTTGCTGACTCTGAGGAGGGAAAACAACCGAGTTGGCTCATTCCCTTTGCCAGTAGTAAAAGTAGCAGATAACTGTTTCAGCTCCACTGCCCCAGAGGACAGGAACATGTGAGCAGTACATGAGGCCATGCTGACCCATAATGACTGCTTTTGGAAGCAGCCTGTGCAAGACAGACACTACAGCTTGAGAAGCAGCCTTCCAGACTTGAAACTCAACTATACCAATGCCTAGAACACTTCCTTTTCTGTAGAAAGTAATAAATAGATAAATAAATAAATAAATGGAGCAAGGACTCCAGCTCTCTGCTAGTCTTAAAGAGATGAAACACAGTATCTCATGCAAAACTAACAGTAAGCAAAAATCAAAAGGCAAATCTGAGCCATGTAACTAGACATTTCAGAGCTACAAAGGGAAAACTTGTTTATCTCTAAGAACCTTAAAAAATACATTCAAGATCCTTCTGAATTATTTGTCTTAGTAATATCAGTTTTCAGGGCTATATGCCTACACTGCAATATAAATAAGAATGGCATAGCACCTACTAAGGGAAAGTGGAAATAACTCAATAAGCACTTCTCTAGAAAAATTTCCTACATTCATTTGTGTTAAATCAAGGGGAAGGAAAGAAGCAAGAAATAATCTTAGCATTTCACATGCCTATAAAATATAATGCTTTCTTAATGGCATAAATTACAAATTTGTTTCTAATGGTTAAGACAATTGCTTTTATCAACTTATTATTCTCTGATTAAAATGATAACAAATATGTCAGAGCTATACAGCTTCATCACTAACTACATGAACATGTGGGTCATGTTTGGACAATATAGAAATTAAAAAAAGGAGGGAGGAAGGGAGGAAGAAAAGAAGGAAAAGGAATAGGAGAGAAGGGAATACTAGGGGAAGGGAAAGAAAAGATAAAAAGTAGACTTGCTACAGGATTATTTACTAACCAAAGCAACATCCTATCTCAGTAGCTATAAAATTCTGCCTTGTCTGGTTAAGAGAACTCTGATACAGGATAAACATAAAAGTTTCAGACTTCAGCTCCATGGGGTAGGGGTGATATGGATAGGAATGAGTTTTGTCCTGAATAACACTCTATAAACCAAATCAGAGAGAAAAATAAAGTCAACATTAAGAGAAAAATATAGGGGCTAGGAATGTTACCTAATGGTAGAGTGCTTGCCTAACATGCATGAAGCCCTGGGTTCGATTCCCCAATACCACATAAACAGAAAAAGCTGAAAGTGGCGCTGTGGCTCAAGTGGTAGAGTGCTAACCTTGAGCAAATGAAGCAGTGCCCTGAGTTGAAGCCTTAGGACTGGCAAAAAGAAAAACAGAGAAACATAAATATTCTAAAATGATCAGATGTTAAGAAAAAGATTGGTTTGGAGAAAGCAGTCAAAACAGGAAATACTGGGTAACTGTATTTGTGGAATTTAACCATTATCCTCAGTTAAAGTATCCTTAATGAAGTTACAACAAATAATCAGATATAATGGATTAACATATGCCCATTAGGAGTTAAATACAGATGATACATGCCAAACAAAATGTAACAAGCAGACAGCATGTTACAAATAAACTGATTTTTATTATTTAAAGAAATCTGAGGTTAAATCCTTCACCAAAGCACAGTATAAAAACATATACTCCCTTCTCTTATTTTTCCATTTTGTAAACCTTGAATTTCAAATATTAGGAAAGGAAAGCAGTTCATAGAATAAATACAAATGACTAGAAGTACAGTATTTTTAATGTTCAACCTCACCAATACCAGGAGATGGAAACTGAAACAAGAGGTCCTTTCTAGCTTTAGGTTGGCAAAAATGTAAGACTTACGTTACCCAATATTTTCACTAGCAAAAGTGTAGGGAAAGGAACAAACACTCTCACATTAACACTGAAGATGTAAACTGGAACTCTTTAGAAGAGCAACTTCACAGTGCTCATTAAAAATTTAAATGTAGACATATATACTTCTCAAGATCTATGGTAGAAATAACTAGTGTCTGAGGATGCTCTCTCTGTACTAGAAAGAACTTCTTAACAATTGAAATGCCCATCAGTGGAAGTATGGGTGAATTAACTGCCCCAGGAACCACTAAATAGAATAAGAAACAACGGATATTCTGACATACAAGTATAGTAAGTGAAGAAAAAGCAAATTCCAATATGATGGGAAAATCTGCTCTCTTTTGAAAAATGAAGTATGTGTGAATAACTGATTGAATGCCTTTTTTTTTTTTAGGATAACTGGGATTTGAACTCAGGAGCTCTCATTTGCTAGACAAATACTCTACCACTTGAGCTATGCCTCCAACTTTTTTTTCTTTAATACATGGTCTTGCTAAGTTGCTCAGGCCAGGCTCAAACTTTCTATGGTAGCCCCAGGCTGGCCTTGAACTTGAGATCCTCTTGCCTCAGCATCCTGAGTGCTGGGATTACAAACATACGCCACCACACCCAGCTGAATGAATGTCTTGAACAGAAGTTATCCCTGGGAGTAGGAAGAGAAAAGGGAATACAGTTTCACTTTTTATTTTACACAGTTTAAAGTACTTTTGAGAGTCATTTCTTAAATATGCATAAAAGAGAATTGTGTTGATATGAGACTATTAATCTGTGCTCTGGAGGAAGCCATAGCTTACCCCCATAATCTATTACTCTGATTTTATCAATAAAACCTTCTCAAGTCAGTGGCTGTAAGAGAAACCCACCCTGCTCGAAAGCATGTTTTTTATAAAATAAATGATACAATAAAAATAACATTCCCAAATTTTCCTCATCAAGTAATATTTAAGAAAACGAAGTAAATATCTTTCTTACACGTTTCCACAAATGCCTGACTTTAATCCATTGGCACAGAATCTCACATCTTTCAACCTCCTAAAATCATCTTCAACCCTACACCCAAATCTCACTTACAAACTTCAGGCCCATAACTATTTTTTAAACTTTTTTGTTATTATAGAGGCGATATACAGAGGATCACAGTTACATAAGTCAGGTAATAAGTGCATTTTTTTAGGGCAGGGGGATAATGCCATCCCTTCCCTCACTCTCTGCCAGTTTTTCCCTCCAGGCCCACAGGCCTAAAAAGGGGAAATATCTGACTATCATCTCTTATAGAGACTGGTGAGACATGCATTTCTCTCCTCTTTTTTAAAGGAAACGTTTTAGGCAGACGCCTATAATCCTAGCTACTTAGGAGGTTAAGAGCTGAGGATCATAGTTGGAAACCAACCCAGGTAGACAAATCTGAGAAACTCTTATTTCCAATTAACCAGCAAAAAGCAGGAAGTGGAGGAGTGACTCAAGTGGTAGAGTGCCAGATTTGAGTAGAAAAAGCCAAGCAAGAGTAAAGGCTGAGCTCAAGCCCTAGTACTGGCATAAAAATAAGTAAATGGAATGTTCCTTGTTTCCAAATGTAACTCTCAAAATGATTCATTCAATAGTGATTTTAGGGGGTTAGGAGTGTGGCTTAGTGGTAGAATGCTTGCCTAGCATGCATGAAACCCTGGGTTCGATTCCTCAGTACCACATAAACAGAAAAAGCTGGAAGTGACGCTGTAGCTCAAGTGGTAGAGTGCTAGACTTGAGCAAAAGAAGATCAGGTACAGTGCCCAGGCCTTGAGTTGAAGCCCCAGGACAGGTGAGAAAAAAAAAAAGGGGGGGGGAGATTTGAGGTATACCTTGGAAGCAAGAAATATAGCAGGTTAATGATCATCACCATAAAATGCTCCCACCCCATCTGCCCCATCTAATATGTATATGAAAAAAAAGCCTCACAAATTTCAGGAATGTTTTAAAAGTAACCAACTAACTAGAACAACTTCAGTTATAAAAGTACACACTGGATCACCTCTCCTTCTCTCTAATGCACTTAATTTTAAACAGTGTTAAGATAATATTCTCCAGGCTAGAATGTACTTTCCACTTGCCCTAATAATAAACCTATGCCCAGACCGGGAATGTAACCAGAACGAAATAAACATACTATAGACAATGAGCAGAGGAACAAAGAAGTAACCTAATGAACCTGCAATGCCTTTGCAAACTATAAAATGTTTCTGTAATTATACAAATAAACTGGAGAGTATGAAAAGTTACACACTCAATGTCAATAAAACGCAACCTCAGATCAGAGGAAAAAGAATTGATTTCCTTCTGGGTGCTATGGATATGTGGTGTTGGATGCTTAAGCTGAAGGAAAAGTGCGTCACACCACCAATACTGGAGCTGTCAGTCATTCTCACACCACTGGCATCACCCTAAAACATGCAAACCCTAAAATGTGCAAACTTGTTCTGGCCAACAACTGGTAACCTAAGCAAAACCTTATTAGCATGATGTACAACCTAAAAGAGATGAAGAATAAAAATGAAAAGAAAGAACAAGAAAGAAATGCCACATGAATATAGAGTGACTCCATTTTTTTCTTAACACCCACACAAAGACGGCAGTTTCTGACAAGAATGTTCTCAGCAAAAGTAAAATTACAGGATGGGTTTTTTTTTTTTCCTTTCTTTGTTTCTTCAATGAGAAAAAGGCAGTTCTGTGTACAGATTACTAGGCAATGCGTATGATCTTTTTTAAAGGCCTAAATTTATACACCTCATATTTAGAAAATGTTATCTAAACAGCGTATCTTGTGGATCACAAAGAAACGATGACTAGAAATACAGCTTCTGTTTGGAACACTTGTGTACATGAAAATGAAGACCACAGAGGCAGCTTACCTTGGCACTGGAAGCCTTGTTTCCCAAACCCCCTGGAAAACAGAAACAAGAACACACATCTTAGCATATTTTGTGTTGATAAGATATTGTAAGCAAGTCATATGACCAAGTATTTCAACAGTGTTAAAGACTTTAAACATAAAATCTAATGGCTTCACAGGAAAGCCGTTCCTAAGCATTTTGTTAGATTACAGTGCTAATTCAACTTTGAAAAAGTATTTTGACCATCATGGACCACTTAATTATTTCAACATATCAAGCTTCTGCTATTGCCCATACTTAAGCCTGAAACTAGAATATGACTACATATTTGAAGTTGTTGGCTATAGTACTAAAGTAACAAAAAGGAGCTTATGGCTTTTTACTTTTTTTAACTAAGGAAACGGTGTAATTTTGTTCCAAAAAAGTGAATTTTTTTGTGTCTCTAAGAATAACTAAAACATGACTTGCTATGAGTTTGTTTAAATACTGCATGTGTGTCCAGTGCTGGTGGCTCACACCTGTAGTGACAGTTACTCAGGAGGCTAAGATCTTAGGATTGAGGTTTGAAGCCAGCCCAGGCAGGAAAATCTGTGAGACTCTTATCTCCAATGAACCACCAAAAAGCTGAAAGTAGAGATGTGGCTCAAGTGGTAGAGCACTAAATCAAAAGCGGTACACATGCATGCATGTGTACTCGCACACATGCGTGCACATACACACACACAATTAAATGTCTAAAAATTATATATCTAAAAAACATTATACATCTAAAACCTGTTAAATAGCAATATTGTTAACATTTAATTTTGGCTTAAAAGGGACCAGATATATGAAATATCATTTCTACTGTTTGCATTTGAAATTATCAGGATCTAATTTTTACTGACCCAATAACATCAGAAGCACGTATAGAGGCTATTTTGTTCTTGTAAATGGCTTTAGAGAGCTTACTCCATAAGCAGAGAACCTTGATGAGGAAATTCAATTGCAAACGTTTTCCACCAGAATGAACTGCATTAAAATGTTCAGGTTGTCATAACTCTTGCTTTACATACCATTTTAAATTTGCAAAGTGCTTCAAAAGGTATAACTTAAGAGTTGTTTCATTCTCCCACCCCAAATAAAATCTAGACTTAAATCCAAATATTTAGCTTTAACAAAACTATAAATCAAGAACGTATAGAAGCAATACTGAAAGAAAATCGAAAAATGAAACTGCAAGCCTATATTATTGGTGGAGATACCCTGGAAACTTCCACGCACTGGCTTTCATATTAAGAGGAACAGAGGCATGAGGGCTGCTCAGTGAGGAGGAAGAGATGAAACCTTTATTTTTCCACCTGCTGACCTGAGTGCCTACTCAGTCTGTCAGGGTGATGGTAGTGGCCAGGCATTAGTTAGCCTGGGCAACACTACATGCCCTGTTTCTAACTTTCCTAATGCCCGAAAAAGCAATCAGCAGTCAGTCTCTGGGCTGGCAGGAGAGGCTGAAGAGCTCTCCTTATCCAAAATGCAATATCCTCTGCACTGATGCTCCCCCCCCCCAAAAAAAAACTCAACTTAAATAGCCTTATCTACAATTACCCGTTCCTTGAGCACAATGGCTTCAAACGCTGCCTGCACAGTGGAAATCACTCCTAGAGGGAGTTGGGCTTTTCATAAACGTGTACTTTTGAGTGGGAAAGGGGAGAACTAAGAACTTTATTAGTACTGTGTTCACGGGACTCTGTGTTGGAGATGCCTTCCTCCAGATGGGATGCATCAGACAGAACTCTCCATTCTTTACTCCACCAACATACATGTGCCACACCACCGCTGGTGGCAGGGTACACTGCAGCGCTGTCACCACCTGCGACTCCACAGCCAGGGGAGGGAGGAGGGAGGGAGGGAGGGAGGGAAGGAAGGAAGGAAGGAAGGAAGGAAGGAAGGAAGGAAGGAAGGAAGGAAGGAAGGAAAGAAGCCATAGCTCACCCTTTAAGGAGCTTCCTAGTCCCACAAAAAAAAAAAAGAAGAAGAAGAGACAAGGTGCCTAAAGGGGGGAGGGAGGAATTCTGCTATGCAAACTGAAGACCCAGAGTTCCATTACTTTCAGATTTCTAAACTTTTTTTTTTCCTTTGGGATGGAGGAAGGGGCAGGGGCAGCGACCTTCACACAGTTAGATGAAAGCTATGATTCTTTCACCGGGGCGGGGGGAAGGGAGGAGTGAGAGAATTGTGCACACAATTTCACCTAGTGTGGCAGGGTTCGCAGGCCCCTGAAGTCTTCCCAGTTACCAGTCCCCCAACCAGCTCCTCGAGTTCACAATGCTACCATTCGCTGGGAATCACCTGAACTCTGGCACCATTTGCCATTACAGTATTTTTCTTAAATAAGCCCTCTGTCCTCATCAACAGGGTTACAGGTCTAATCTCGTGTTGACAGGGTCTATTTTAAATGACTCCCTCTGCCCTTCGCCATTTGCCTGCTCCGTGTTGACCCCCCTCCCCCCACGACAAGCTTTCAACAGTTTGCTGCCTCTCACCTCTCTTTCTCCCCGCACCCCCCCCCCCACTCTCTCCCGAGGCTCGCCCGGAGAAGAGAAAGTCTGCTTGCCCAGCAGATACAGCCTACAGTAGGCAGCGCCCCAAGGTTCCCGTGGAGTCCCACCCCGATGAGAAACACAAACACACAGCCCAGAACGCGCCCAGCCCGGCTCGCCAAGCCGCCGGGACGGCCGGTGCCCGCCGCTCCCCCGTTACTCCGGGGCGTGTTCCTCCAGGAAACTCTCGGTTCCTCGGGACTCTTTTTCTTTGCCCTACACCGGAGCTAAAGGATCCTCCACACTGTCTCCATGGGAAGGAGGGGTGAGGGGAGTGGTGAGCCTGGAAAGGCTGGAGGGACGCGGGGGGGGGGGG